GTGGTTATTAATGCCTGTGAAAGGCCAAATGTGTCTTGATGACCAATGAGTGCTGGAGATCAAATTACAAATAGCTACATTTTCCGTTTACTCATTTTGTCATTTTTGTGGCCTCAAACGCACAAAGTGGTTTTATCAATCGAAAGATATTTTAACAAAAAATAATTATACACAATACATGGAAAAGAAGTGGTAAAGTAGAATATGAGTTGTTACTGCAATACAGCAGCTAGCGCTATAGTTTGAACCTCCGCTCTCATGTTGATGTGTTGACATGTTGATGTGTTGACATGTCAATTTTCTCGATACCTTTCCACTAACAATGGATAAACAAATGCTGACGTGACCAACTTAGCTACGCTAATTTCCAGACCACTGGGTGCACATAAATATAAGCCCAACCCACTAAGTTTAAAACAAAAAAAAAATTGTACATATATAGGTCGCACTTCTCTATGAATGATGTCCACGTTGTAACATGGGATATTCACACAGAAAGATTTTTTTCACTTTTAACTAAATAAATGATTTATTCCAAACAGTGCCTGTAACACGGTTGGTTCCAAGTTAGCTCTTTCCTGCTTTGGCGCCCTGATCGTAATTGGAATGCACAGGGGAGACTTGGTGATCTGCTCCAGGTTAGACGCTAGCATTAGCTTTAGGTCTAGCGCCCTTCACTTTGGGGCTCAAACTGCTCTCAACGTTCCCTACCGTTCTCTCGCTTTTGAGCGCCCCACGCACATATACGTACACAGCCATTCACAGACAGACATACGCTACTAGCAGAGGTGTGGAATCGAGTCACATGACTTGGACTCGAGTCAGACTCGAGTCATCAATTTGATGACTTTAGACTCGACTTGACAAACTGTAAAGAGACTTGCAACTTGCGACTTGGACTTTAACATCAATGACTCGTGACTTCACTTGGACTCGAGCCCTTTGACTCGACAAGACTTGATACTTTCTCCAAAACCCAAAGTGATTTGTGTAAATATGTTATTATCTTGTTTAAAAGGACTCGAAACAGAAACGTAAGGACTTGGGACTTGACTTGACGCTTTTCAGTCTTGACTTGGACTCGACTCGGACTTTGCCTGTCTTGCCTTGAGACTTGACTCGGACTTGAGTGCAAAGACTTGAGACTCACTTATGACTTGCAAAGCAAGGACTTGGTCCCACCTCTGGCTACTAGTATAACACACAGTAGCCTACCAGAAAAATCATGGATCGCTAGCAGTATAAACTTGTTTAAGATGCAAAAATCCATAAATTAGCCGCATCATTGTTTAAGCTGCAGGGTTCAAGGCGTGTAGAAAAAAATAGCGGCTTATAGCCGTAAATTACGGTAATACACGTTCACAGAAAAATGTCAGATATGTCAAAACAAGTCCATTCCCTCCCTATACATTTCATATTTCCTGTTATAGTCACTTGGCAATCCCAACCACCAGTCTACAGCTTGGTACATATCCAAATCTCAAAGCAGTGGGTCCTAATGCCGGATTGGCTTTCACACAGTCCCAGACCCCTCCCTGCTGCCTGATAACGCAGCTGTCAGCTGTCAATTGCAAGCTGCGGATGCACATTTGGCCCCTTAGGCTCAGAAGAAAACAGTGGGAAACACTGGCCTTGGGAGCAGAATCACTGGTTTATACAGAAAAAAAAAATCTAAACATCATAGTTGTCTTTTGAAAATTCCTGGGGCAGCTCATGGGAGGGACCGGCCGCTTCTAAAGTTAAGGACATTTTGACTCAGTGTGAATAGGTAAGGCTCCATGTTTTACACACAACCAGATTTATATTTGCAGTCCAGGGTTCTGTGTTCAGCACAGTTGTTCATTATTATACTTTTCCACATTTTTTTCCCCTGTATGGTTTACTGACAGGTGTTAATGCATATAATATAGATGTGCTATTATTATTAATATAAATGTATGATGAATGTATCTGCTTGGAATTGTTGCACTCATTTGAGCTTGCAATGCTATTTGTTTTCAAATAATTCTGCTCCGTATTAACAATACGAAACTTGAATATCTTGAATCTAGCTAGCAATACACTAGCAAGGAAACATGGCAGTGGGTAAATAATAACAAATAAAATATAATATGTGTTGTCCAAAACGTACTAATGATTAATTCTATGTTTGTGTTAAGAATATGATAGGGTGGGCCAAAAGTAGTGTAAATAAGGAAAAAGAAATTAGAAAACACTAGAAAACTAGAAAAATACTACTTTACCAAAGGAGGTCAATCAAAGCACAGTATTGGTGAAAATACTATGATGCAAAATATATATTATTTTTCCACATAATGTTTTCATAAATATTACAGGAATGAAACACAGTTCTACCTGCTGTTGTTGTTGTTTTTTTTCCGTTTCAGCAATATGAAGACATTTTTTTTTCTGTATATATTTCTTTTCATTTTTCATATTGTATTGTATGTTGATTGATCAAATGCGGTCCGTTCAGCTTTTTAATTCGGGCCAAACTTTTCCAAAACATATCATTTATTTATATTATCATTATACTTCTCCCTTTCCCCTGCAATACCCATGTTTCCCCAATAGGTTGACATAGAAAATGATAGAAGCATGTTAGCATTTTAGCCTTTATGCATGACTTTTACATGCCATTTATCTCACACAAAAATGCTCCATCTATCTGCTCCTGACCTGGACCCCTGCTCAATTTTAGGACAATCATAGACTTTGACACAAAAGACAGCAGGATTTATTTTCACCTTTGATTTACCAGTAAAGAAGTAAACAAAACAAAAAAATCCTGAAATTTTGACCAATATCACTCCAATACCTATCCTGAGTATTAGCCATCCCTTATTTTAATTTCCAAGTGGTGCAACTATATTTCAAGTTGGCAGCACAGGCCAAATAATGATCTATATGTTGTAACCGCAACATGTTAAAGGACTTTAGTCTGTGAATTTATGTTTATCTTTCCCTGCAGAATGGATGATCAGGATAGAATGAGCCAAGCCTCCAGCACAGCCACCATTTCCTACTTTCCTGTCACAAAGGCAATTTAAAAAAAAAATCTTATTACTGAATGTCCAAATGTTAAGTACATATGTAATACTAACAATGCAATTATGCACATCCTTCTTAATGATAAAGGAAGGTGAGGGAAGAGTTCAAGCATTTGGTAAAAGATGCCAATCTGCGAAAAGGGACCCCAATTGCCCTGTAGTCATTCGAGGATGGCTTAACAAAAAGGTAGGTTTTCCAGAATTTTCTGGGCCATTTACATTGGCATCCCAATATTGCACTTAAATAAGTAATGTTTCCCCAATACATTTTTGACAGGACAGTCGAGGTTTGAAGCTGTGGAAAAGAAGATGGTTTGTCCTTTCCAACTACTGTTTGTTTTACTATAAAGGTGAAAGTACAATTTCTTTTTCTCTAGGACTTCTTCCATTTTCTCGAAATGTTACGTGAAGCAATAAGTCCCGTTTCTCCTCTTTTCCTCTTTCAATCAGATAGCAGAGAGGAGTCTGTGCTCGGCAGCATCCCGTTGCCAAGCTACAAAATCCTCTTCTGCACATCACAAGAATGCAAAAACCAAAAGTTCACCTTCAAGGTATATTGTTTTATTGCTCCTATACTTTTCTGTAAACTATAGTGAGGTTTAAGAACACGTGAATGTAACCTTAGATACCGTCATTTCCGAACTATTAAGCACACCTGAACGTAAGCCGAACCCACTAAAATGAAAATGGGAAAAACAGAATTCTACGTATATAAGCCGCACTTCTCTATAAGCCGCAGGTGTCCACATGGGATATTTACACAGAAAGATTTTTTTTTTTTACTTTTAATTTCAAAAAAGCTTTTTTTGAATAGTGCCTGTAACACTGCTGGTTAGATGTTAGCTCTTTCCTGCTTTGGTGTCCCGACTGTAGTTGGAATGAACAGGGGAGACTTAGTGATCTGCTCCAGGGTTGAAGCTAACATTAGCTAGCTAAGGGCTAACTCCCTTCACTTTGTGCTGGTCCACAGCAGAGGTAAACAGAAACAGGGAAGTTGGGGTCTTTATTATCAGCCACTCCGACCACAACAGAACATAAACAGCATTTTAACAGCTCCTGTATAACCAACTGACGCTTCAACATGACAGGGCTCAAACTGCTCTCAACTTTAGCTACCATTCTCTATCGCGCGCCCCTCACACATTTACGCACACAGCCATTCACAGACAGACCTACGTTTTAGTAGAACACACAGTAGCCGACCAGAAAAGTCATTGATCACTAGCGGTATGAACTTCATTAGCCCATAAAAATCCTTAAATTAGGTGCATCATTGTTTAAGCCGCAGGGTTAAGTGTGTGAAAAAAGTAGCGGCTTAGAGACTGGAAATTACGATAATTATTTCTGGACTGCATGGCGACGCATTATAACTGACAGCAAGAAAGTTACAGGTGCATGACTAAAATTAGGCAGATGAACTGAATGAATTATACACTGATATTGTGTAAATATTCGGTGGATTGTTGATGTTTCTGTTTTTTGGTTTTTATCAGCTGCCATCTGGTTGCTTTCTTTCTACAGCTGTTGTAATGAGAACAGTCCCCTGTGTTGATATTAATTCAATTAACCCTTTCATGCATGACGGTCACTACAGTGGACAGCTATGAAAATGTCATTTTCCATGATAAGAATAGGTTTTGATGGCAGTGTTGCATATAAGCCTCTACAGTGGACGCCTGAGAATCACCCAACACTGCCATACAGTGGTCAGCCTTTGAAACTGCAGAATAATTGTGTCAACATTCAAAAAGAAAATTTGGTGTATGAAAACAGAACCAAATCAGTTCTTATTTTTATGTCTAAAAACACATAAAAACACTTAGTAACATTTTTTTAACTCAGTATATCATGGGTCATGCATCAATACTTCTTATATTGAACATACAGAAAAATTGGCTGATTGTTGAAACAATCACTGTAAATCATGTTAATCACATGGCTTCACATCTATCCATTTAGGTGACACATCAGGGAATGCGATCATATTTTTTTAGTGCTGACACTCAGGAAGATTTGCTGGGTTGGGTCCGAGCACTAAGCCAATCAGCCGCAATGGAACAGGCCAGCTCTATAAACAGGTACGAAACGAATTGACTACGTAAGAGTGTTATTTGCTGCGATGTCCTTTAATTACTTTAACCTCTATTTCTCCTTTATTCAGACGCTGCTCCAGTTATCAAGATTTTACCAGAATAGATTACGGTGAATCAATAGACTTTACAAAAAAAACTTCTGACGGCATAGGTCACTCCCAGAAACACAAGCACGTGAGCAGGACACTGACCAATCTGAGTCAGCTCACAGTTGGACAGACGGGTGCATCACAGTGGGCGAGGGAGAGATTGCATCACAGGCATAGAAGGTTGTCGTCCTGGTTGTATGATGTAAACTGAACCTTGAAAATCAATATAAGCACATTTAACCAGTACTAGTTCTACCACCTTTTTTAATACTTCTTATATGCAAATCTGCCAACATTTGACCTCCATCTAATTTATTAAATACTAATAACACATGATAAAATGTGTCAAACTCAAGGTCTAAGTCGTTTTGTCTTAAAAAGCATTTCATTGCCATATAATTCAGGATTTAAAGATACACAGATAATACGATGATTCGAGATTTTTTTTTTTTTTTTTTTGTTCATGGTACCATTTTATCGCATTTTCTTTGAAGCAAAATGAGCTCCAGACAAATTATGACCAAATACATGATTCTTTATTTGTAAGAACTATGCAAAAATATTGTTACCAACTGTACCTCATAAACTGGAATTGTTATTTTAAATAACCAAAACCAATCCAAAAAAAAATTTTTTTTCTCTTAATAGAGGTCAAACTGGTCTGGTCTTATTTAATTCGCTGTCAATATATTAAACAACAAAAGAATATAAGACATATAACCTAGGAAGATTTTCTTTCTTTACAGAAACACTGTAAAACACAAAAATGTGTGAAAACAATTTCTTCCCACGTTCTGTTTGAACCCCTGAATGTCACTTAGGCTACATAGGGACCTAACGTCTTTTTAAACAACCGATGTTTTTGGCCACATGTCGCCCCCTACTGCACTAAAGTGTGTACTGTCATGGTATGACCACTGACTTTTTGAGATAACACAGTCCAGCAATTTAATTTTTTTTTTTTTACAACAACACATTAATGATGAATAATGAGCAGAGATCAACTCGGTGTGTTCAAGCACAAGCAGCATCACCTCAACAACTTGTGATTTGAATGCAAGTTTCTTAACCTGGTAATTGTTTTTATTACAGAGCGCAATGTACAACATTTGTAACTTGAATAAATAAGTATCAACTGCAGAAACTTTTATTTTTACATTATTAACTATTACAGTGAGCCCTGCGAGGGCAACCGTATTGCCGATGTTTGAGTTTGACACCCATTTTATTTGTATAACGTTACATTTAAATATAAAATGTCTTGCGTTTTTTACTGTCTACTGAAGCTTCATTAAACTGCGCACGTTTTTTAATGTCTACTTTTGTGTCTGTACAGCCATTCAGATGGAACGTCCACTCCGCCTGTAGTCCACAGAAGGACATGTGGTTGCAATCCAGAGGAGGACTGTCTTTATGACCACAACTCACCACCAGGTCAAAGAGAAATGATCGGAGCAGGTTTTTTGTCAACAAGAAGTCAGCCAGAATCTCGGGCACATACGCCGATGGGAAGGGTTGACATTAGACCAAACAACGACCTGGAGGTGTTACCACAGAGCCTATATTACACTTTCTCCTCACCCAAGCCAGAGTTTAAATCTGCTCCGACAACTCCGCTTTCTGAAAGGTGGCAAAACGTAACCAAGGTCAGCACATATATTGTTTGTATATCCCCTTTAAGTTAGAACCGGTCAGACTGCTGTGTCTCCTTTGCAAAAATGTTACCACACCCCTGGTTTACAATATAGAAAACAACGTCAAGTCAATTTTATTTGTGTAGTCTAGTTTCACAAACAACATTTGTATCTTTGAACTCCATACTTTTATATAAAGATTAAAATGAAACTTAAAATATTCTCCTAGAAAAGACAGTTAACCGGGGGGAGCGATGGCATACAGTCAACATCTATATTGAGTTCAAATTAACCATACAGACTAAAGCAGGATAAAGTTACAGTTACACATTGAGTGAGCATTATGGCGACAATGTGGAGGAAAAAAAAAACTCTCTTTTAACAGAGCGAAATCTCCAGCAGATCCAGACTCAGTGTTGCTGTCTGTCTCGGCAAAGAGATTGTTTGGCAAACTGAAATTGTTGCACAGAAAACTAGGTCTTTTTGGAACGCGATCTCTGTACAGCACTTGGAAATATACGTAGGACAAACCTCATATTTGGTGCTCACAATAAACTACATAGAATAGTAGGAATTATTCATTTGAACCAGTGGTTCTTAATTATTTTCTGTCATGCCCGCAAATTGAAATACTATTGAGAACCTGATAAGATGTATATTTTTATCTGCACAAACCAACTGTATGAGTTGCTGCCACCTAGCGACGGGAGGCTTGTTTTTATTATTGCATTACAGCAGTGGTACACTTATGTCCATATGCATGCCATGTTTCATTTGAAGCCCCTCACGCCCTCCGGGCACACACACACACATACTTTTTCTTCTCTTTTTTAAATACAAATGTAATACAATATATTCCCAGCAATATAATTTCACTGAACATTCCTTTTTTTTTTTTTTTTTTTTTCACAGACCCCACCCACATATGCCTCAGTTCATTGTCAATCCAACGGAAGAAAACCTTTGGCGAAGGTGACTTCTAACTGAGATTTTTGCTGGAAATGCTTTTGCTTTTCGGCTGCAAATGCAGACTCACTGTATCACTCACTTCATCAATAGCTGCCACTACACGCAAATCACTTCACAGCATCACCACCATCATCACTGCTGCCATGTTTGTGTGCCACAGCCTGTTACACAGCTGGTAGTTATGTGTTTATGTCACTAATTTTCAGCTTTTCTTTGTGACTACTAAACATTGCACTACTTTTTTTTTTATTGAGGTTGTAATTTGAGTGTTTTGTTTGACTGTTATGTGCTGTCCTCAAGCGGCTATTATAGAATATTTAAGGGATAGAGCAGTGTTTTTAATGAAGTGAAAACAAATGTTTTTTAATAATATAACAAATTATTCATTTTAGGCTCCTTAGGTTTCCTAAGAAAACCCTTTTTGACACATTTGATGTTTATCATATTTTATTAGCAAAACCAATTGCACGCACCCATATAACAAATTATTCATTTTAGGCCCCTATCAGTCAGAAGCCCTTTCAATGGTCCTGACCAAAAGAAAACCCTTTTTAACTATGACACATTTGATGTTTATCATATTGTATTAGCAAAACCAATTGCACGCACCCAGTCAACTTATTAACCCTTTCATGCATGACGGTCACTACAGTGGACAGCTATGAAAATGTCATTTTCTATGATAAGAATAGGTTTTGACGGCAGTGTTGCATATAAGCCTCTACAGTGGACGCCTGAGAATCACATAAAAACACTTAGTAACATTTTTTTAACTCAGTTTATCATGGGTCATGCATCAAAGGGTTAATACTTGGGATCCGTATCGGTCCAATATTTCAGGATTGAACATCAAGTATAAAAACAAGTATATCCGAGTCTGATCTGATACCTAAGCCCAAATGTCTGTCACCAGGAGTTGCAATAAAAGGCATAGGGCTAGGTCACCAAACCCTATATTTAGGTGTGTGAAAGACACTAAGTATAAGTACCTAATAAAAAGCACAAAAATATATGACTATGATTTTTTCATAAACCAACACATCAGAATAACACTTGTAATCTATGAGTAAATATTATTATCAATTATGTAACAAGAGTCATTTCAGACTATGCCGATGCTTTTCAGACCTCTAAACACGACCTTGGGGAAATGCCAACGATCAGACCTTACGAAAGTGACGCGGATGTGAGTTTTCATTTGTACTACCAGAATGTTCAATGCTGTGGTTGTGTATTTGAACATTGGTAACATAGCCAGCAGGAAAGCAAAAAAAAAAAATTTTTTTTTCTTCTTTTCCAGACTGTGTTGACAAGATTATGTGGGTGTGATAAGATGCTACAGGCACTGTCTGCAAAGCTGGCCCAGCTACAAATGGATAAGGTGAGCAGCTGAACGGTTGCTGCTCAAACTCTTGTTCATCAATATTGTCCTATTAATCTTTAAACACTTGTTTCCCTTTATAGGAAAGTGCACAGTGTGCATTAGAGGTGTCTAGACTTCAGTTGCATGAGTGGCAAGAACGGGGACTTCACGCCCAGGATGAATCTCTGACCCATAAGTCTTTGCTCCAAGAAGAGCTGGTCACAATCCGAGCCAGGATGTGCGATGTATTGTTGGTGTGTAAACCCCACTGCTAAACTAAGACTGGTATTTTTACACAATTTCAGCAAACGTTCAAGTACCGTATTTTATTTTTGACTATAAGTACGTTTTGTAACATATACTCAGGTACTTATACTCAGGTACTTAGTACTAGTATCCAATTCACACTGACCGCTAGAGCCGCTAGAGGGCACTCTAAGCTTGTGTACTAGTATCTGCTACTCCTGTACCACTGAAAATGTACATGTTCATTATTTTCACACTGACAGCCACTAGAGGGCACTGGTGCGATTTATAGTATAAATACTGTAATTTGATCTGATACATTTAATGACTGTTAAAAGCGTTTCTCTTTGTTTGTGTTTCTCCAGGAAATGGATTGGGTGTGGAGTCAATATGAAAGAATGGAGAGCGAGTTGTGCGTTATACGCTCACACCTTCAGCACATCTCGAACTTTGGACCTGGACAGGTTTTTGTTAGATTTCCAAATAAGATCCTTTAACATTATAAGCTTCAAACTGCTGTGTTTGGTGAATAGGAAACCAGGTGTTCAACTAAGAGTGATATGCCTTTGTGTGTGTGTGTCTGTGTTTATCTGTAGGAGCAAACTCAGGCCCAGAAAATGCTGTGGATAATGGAGGATATCCTGGCTGCACTCAAGGTCAACAGGGATCATTTCTACTTCTTGCTGGTGCTACAGAGGCCACATGGTAAGAACAAATCAAATGTAATTTCTGTTTATGTCACCAAATGGAAGCAAACATCAAATGTGCCAAATTATCTTTGAAAATGTATGTGTATTCTTGTACTTTTTCTGTTATTATTTTTCGACATTGTACAGATTTCCACATCAGACCAAGGCTGAACCGACACGCCAGTTAGTCATTTTGAACCTTATTTTGGCCCATAAGACAAATAATTTGCACATCCTTGCTACAGACACTCCTAGAGGATCACTCGATAAATCATTTCTCTGAATTTAACGCAGAAAGTGATTAATCAACAGTCAGGAGAAAATCAAAGTTGTAGATTATTTAAAGAATATTTGAGTTACAGTTTGTAGAGTAAAATAAAATATGATGTTTGATGACAATCATGCAATTGTTTGTTACTCACTGTGGGAATCTAATGTCAAAACTCCGACCTTTTGTTTCCCCCACCCAAACACCCACTTACCCACAGTGCTCCAGTCGACTGCCACACATTCTGGATTCACTGGCCAACACACGGAGATGCCGGGGACTGGCCTGACAATGGTGCCACTCATTTTGCTCTACTGTCTCTTCCATCAGCTATGAAAACAAGTGGAAGGGTTTAAAAAAAAATGTATCAGTCAATTTTTCAGAATTACAATCATGGCTTTTTAATCAATACAAAAAACACAGCATTGCCTACAATGTAAACATTTATATTCATAGCAGGAATTAATTTATTTAATGTGTAATATTTATATAAGATACATGTATATTGTTTTTATTTATATCTTAACCCATTATTCTTGTAAACAGAAAACAATATTGAATAGTCTACTATTGATCATCTAATGAGAATCGAAAAACAAAGCAACAAGCTTGTGAAGTGAATGAAGTACAGTTCATGAGAATAGAATTTTATACTAACTACACTCTAGGCCCTGTTTTGATCCACAGAACATATTTTACATAAGAACAGTGCTTCTTAAATAGTGGGACGGGCCCCCCTGGGGGGCCACGGTGAGTGCCAGGGGGAGTGTGAGGGGCTTCCAATAGAATATGGACCGCTGGATATAAGTGTACCACTGCTATAATGCTTGAATGATAACAAGCTTCCAGTCACTAGGTGGCAGCAACTCATACAATGGTTTGTAATATACATACATATACATTATCCTGTATATACATATTACATACATATGTAATATATAAAATATACATGTTATCAGGTTCTCAATAGTATTTCAATTCACGAGGGTATGGGTCGCCGCGGGGATGCAGGGATTTGGGGGCGTGAAAATATTTCTCTCCCCCAGGGGGGGGGGGGGGGGGGCGCGCACGGAGCAAATAGTTGAGAACCACTGTATTAGAATAAGTGACACAGCTCAACAGCTCTGATTCTTTCAGGCTTTTAATAGCTGTTTGTTGCTACCTAATCGAAGAGAATTTAATTACTCTGCCTCCCACTGAAATTGGATAATTTTTTTGGAAAGTACAGCTAAAGATGATCTCTCATGGTTAGGAATCACTGCTTTTTGCTGCCTTTGGGGGGCATGTAAGTATTCATAAAAGCCAACAGAAATTAAAACAAAAAAAAAACACAAATGTAATGGCTGGAAAACTGAAGACAGTCTGTAGGCAGGGAACAGTATCAAGATGATTAAGTTAAATTCCAAAAAAAAGAAAGGTGTCTCGGAGGGGAAATAACACACACCTTGCAGGAGGAGCAGGTAATCCCAAAGGCAGGGAGACACAGGATGACAGGAACAGTTGGACACCGGCTGTGAACAGAAGTACACAGGAAGTGGCAGATGTCAGGGGGGAAACAAGAATTGAGACACAAAATGTAACAAGGGAAATGATAATAGTCATACAAATACAGTAAAAGTTACATAACTGGCTGCGAGATGTACAGATTAATGGCTATGTCAACGAAACGTGTTTATTTGTTTACGAAAAATCCTTGTGCCTTCGAGTTTCATTCGTGCAGCAAATTGGAGGTGTTTTTTTTTTTTCATGTTTCCGCATGTCCTATCAATAAGGCTTGTGTACGATAAAGCTCTACTGTCATAGAGTCACATTGTTTTTCAATTATTCCATGTTACTGTGATCCCAACAGGACATGGAACCGACACCACCTGTCCGTCCAGCATTACCCCAGGAGCTGCAGGACAACCACCAAAACTGGGACTACAGCCATGTCCTTACAGAGTCACCATATGAGGTTAGAGAAATAATGACATTTTCATGTAGATAGCTTAAAGCTTGCTACATATTGATTTTTTTTTTTTCATTCTTATTTTCCAGGGATTTTATAACTCTAATGTTGAGCCAGCACAAGTAAGAGGAAGAAAGCAGTCCCACCTTCATGTTGCAAAGCCCAAGAGAAACACTGGTTGGTCAAACTGAGTGATTACAACAAAGTACATGTAAAGAAGAAAATCATACCAATATCAAAGCATTGGCCAGCGGTTGAGTTTACTCCTAATATAACAAACATGTCTAGCATGTACCTTATGCAAAATGTTTAATTTGCTTTTTTTTAAATCAGAATCTACTGGCTTTGTTAGTCTTTGGAATTCACTTTCCATTCTTTCTCTAATGAGAATCGAAAAACAAAGCAACAAGCTTGTGAAGTGAATGAAGTACAGTTCATGAGAATAGAATTTTATACTAACTACACTCTAGGCCCTGTTTTGATCCACAGAACATATTTTACATAAGAACAGTGCTTCTTAAATAGTGGGACGGAGCCCCCTGGGGGGC